TGGTGGGGACCAGGGAATGACAGTAAATTCATTCTGGGTAGAGGGGAGGGCTGAATGGTGAGCCAGGACGTATTGTCCCAGGAACAATGGGGAGCCATGGGAGAGCTTGCGAGCAGGGGAGATGCTGGTTGGAAGGACACCGCTGGCAGCTGGGGAGGCCAGCGTCCTGGTCTGAACGGGTGAGGCCTGATGGGCAGGCCCGCGTGGCAGCAAGAGGCTTTCCTGAGCCTCACGGCAGCGGCTGCTGACTTCTCGCCATGAGGCCACAAAGAGCCAAGGCGTCATGATGGGTAAACTGAGGCAGGAGCACTGATGGGTGGTTGGGGGTAAACCCAAACTCAAGCGATCTCTCTGCAGCTCAACGGCTCTGCCATCCTGGGTCCTGCGGTGGGGCTGCTGAGGCTGCCACGGAGAGACGCCACGCCACTCAGGGCGGGGGCACGCTGCCGGGTAGCTGGCTGGGGCTCCGTATCCGATTTCGAGGACCTGCCACCCGGGCTGATGGAGGCCGAAGTCCGCGTGCTGGGCCTGGACGTCTGCAACAGCTCCTGGAAGGGCCAGCTGAGCCCTGCCATGCTCTGCACCCACAGTGGGGACCGCCGGAGGCGTGGCTTCTGCTCGGTGAGACACTGGGTCCCCACCCTACCTTCCTGCAATATGGGCAAACCGAGGCCCACAGACAGGGTTAGAGAAGGCAGAGGCTTGGGAACTAAGTCCTTAAGCTCACCTTTGACCAGATGAAGCCTCACTGAGACCCTGGAAGGACAAAGACTTTTCCGAGGTCACAGGGCTGTCACGTACAGCTGTGCAGATCGCGCATCGCACAAAGGGCTACAGATTTGTGTATTTATAAGCAGCGTTCAGTAGGGGGCAGTAACAGATCTCCGTCAAGGAGTTCCTGCTCCGGAGACCCTCCGTGGACTCTGGGCAACCCTGGCCCTGGTGCCGAGGGAGAAACAACCTGGACGGTTTTTTTGTTCCTGGCAAGAGAGTGATTCAAAACAGATTCTGGAGTCCAACCGCATGGGTCCAAATCCAGACTGTGACACTTCCCAGGTGTGTGGCCTTGGAAAAGTCACCTCACTTTCCTGGACCTTTCTTTACCTGTAAAACTGCCACACTAATAGTACCTACTTCCTAGGGTCAGAGGTGATTTCAGATTACAGTTAGGGTGATACAACTGGGAAGGGGAGAGGAGGGGAGGAAGCGGGAATTTTAGGGTGAGTATTCAGGAAGGCTTCTCAGAGGAGAGCACCTTTTGAGCTGAGACTGGAAGGAGGCTTGAGGAGATCTGAGGGAAGGCATGCCAGGCAGAGACACCCATCACAGGGCTGCCATGTACAGCTGTGCAAGTTGTGTACTGCACAAAGTACTGCAGACTTGTATATTTATACCAGCAGTGTCCAATGGGGGCAGTAACAGGTCTCAGGGATATGGAAAAGCCCAGAGGCCAGACCAAGCTTGGTTTGCTTCAGGAACAGCCCAGAAGGCTGGTGGGGCAGGAACCTAGGGAAAGGAGCGCAGACAGATGGGTGGGGGCTAGATGCTCAAGTCCCTCGAAGGCTGTAAGTTTAGTTTTTGCTGGAGGAGCGCTAGGAAGCCTCGGAAGGGTTTCGAGGCAGGGAGGCCAGGGAAAGAGGCCCAGAGATGGACCCCTGACCTTGCCTTTCCCTCCACCCCCAGGCGGACTCTGGGGGACCCCTGGTGTGCAGGAACCGGGCACATGGTCTGGTCTCCTTCTCTGGACTCTGGTGCGGCGACCCCAAGACCCCTGACGTGTACACGCAGGTGTCTGCCTTCGTAAGCTGGATACAGGATGTGGTTCGAAGGCCCAAACGGGCCCCAGCCCAGTCCACTGCCCGGGACCGCTGGGTTCCTGCAGGAGTTGCCTGAACCCCAACAGCACGGGGTCCACAAATGAGGTGGTAAATGATTCAGATAGCTCCTGCCTGGAACTTCCATGGCTGGGGCAGGGCATCCGTGGGCCCCCAAACTCCAGGAAGCCTGGTGTATCCGTGGGGTGGAGGGTGGGGTAGAGAGGGCACCGGTTCCAAATGCAAAGGGCCAAAATGACCAAATAAAATGTTAACTGAATAACCAGACACGACGATTCACCTCCAGGGCCCATCCACGATCCTTCGAGTTTCTGTCTCAGCGAGGCCAAGGGTCTGGCTCGGCCACAGCCTCCCTGAGACCGTGAGCTGCTTGCTCAGAGGCCTCATCTGGTCCTCTGGCTTCGGGACCCAGGCCCCTCCCCGCCCTCCTCACCACCGGCCCTTCTGGATTTACCGACCCCCACCCGACAGCCTGCATTCAGGACAGCCTCTTGGCCTCTGCCCAAGCAGTGGCCCAGCCTAGCACATCTCTCCCTCGGCCTCCAGCTAACCACACCCAGGCATAGATGGGGAAACCAATGGGGATGGGGGGTCTCCTGGTCCTCTGTGTAGAGTCTCAGGCTGGCCTGGCCCCACGTGAAGTCTGTTATTCACTGAAGAAAGTGCTGGCATATGGCCACGTCTGGGTAAGTCCCAGCTGGTGTTATGCTCGTCGTATTATTTTTAACGGTGTTATGGCGACCCTCACACCCCCAGCCCTTCCAGGCCAGGCCTCTGTTTCTGGAGCCTAAACCCGGTGGCTTCTCTGGAGTGCCCTAAGCCATCTTGACTGCCTCTTCTGCCTCCTGCCCTACGGAGGCTTCCTTTCTCCCCCCGGCCTCACCCTGCACCTCACCTACCTCAGCCCTCTCCCGGGCTGCCGCCCACTGCCCAGAGGCGGCCACTGAGGCCCAGAGACAGAAGGCATCTCCCCCAGATGCTCCCAGAGCCCCCCACTCACCACCCTCACAGCACCCTAGGCTTCCGACTGGGTGGAAGCACTAGCAAGAGGAGACTGCACAGAGGCTCAGAGAGAGGCAAACCAAGGCTCGGACACTGCAAAGTGGCTTTTTATAGTCTTTATTTCTTTGGTGAGGCAGGACCCCAGGGTGCGGAGGTGGCCTCAAGGGCACTTTTCTGGGTGTCACAGGTAAGGCACTTCCGAGGGGCCAGGAGAGGATGAAAACAACTGGCCCCTGCACGGCTCACTGCAAACGCGGGGAGGTGGGCTCCTGCCTGTTGGGCCCCCCGTGTCCGGTCTGAGCCTCTGCCACATGCAGACACGGGGAGGTGACACTGAGCAAACAGGAGGCAGCGACCCTGCCCAGAGCCAGCATCTGGCAGGTGTCAAAACTCCCGGCCGGCTGGTGGTGGAGGTGGGTCCACCTGGAAACTGGGCTTAGAGGCTCGGCCAAGGCAAGTCTCATGGGACCGAGGGGTCCTGGTCTGGACCTTCCCTTCGGATGGAGCAGCAGGGACGAGGGGTGCCGCTAAGACATACAGCTCTAGGAGGCAGGGTGTGCAGTCGGCCTTGGCACACAAACCCCACGGTGGGTGAGCAGGGGCTCTTTGTGGGCCCCACTGGGTCCCGCCCAAAGCGCACTGGGCACCAGGACACATAGTGCTCTCTTCTGGCCTCTCCCACCCCAGGAGACACACTGGGCTCTTCTCAGGAGCCACCACAGGACGTCCTGGGGAAATGGAAATGGAGGCACTGAGAAGGTAGGGCCTGGAGTCCTTGAGCTGCTTGTGGACAGCGGCTGCTTCCTTGGCCTATCTGGGGCCTGGGCAGGTTCTGCGGCTCATTTATACACATCCGGGCTGCGGACCCCTTCCTTACTCCCAGTCTGCGGTCTAGAAGGCGGGGGTGCCTCTTCATTAATTGCTGGCAGGCAATCCCCAGCCCTCTCCGTGGTGACCATAATTTAAGCTAACCCCTAGAGCAGAAGCATGGGGGTCCTCCTGCCTGGAGTGGGAGCCCCACCTACCAGCCCCACTCCCAGGCCCCCTTCCCCCAATCCTTCCAAGGTATTGTCAGGGGGCTCCAGGGCTCCTCCTAAGTGGTCCCGGCCCAGGCTCTGGGGAGTGTCCATGGGACATAAATTAGACTCGGCTGTGGCAATAAATAAAACGGGGAGGCCTTGAACGCCAGGCCCAAGCCGGCCCCACGGGCTCACACGAAGTTCTCCTCCTCCGACTCCGACTCCGCATCCGACGGCTCAGGGGTGCCTGAAGAGCGGGAGGGACGAGAAGAAAAGTGGGGGCGCGGAGAGGGGCGGGAGGTTGGGCCCCACCGCTGCTCCCCGCTCCGCGCCACACCTGCACAGCTGCCCGGGTGGCGCACGCCGATGGAGCGGCCCAGGAAGCAGGTGGCCTGGCGGAGGTGACACGAGGACATGTAGGTGACGTTGTTGTTGCCGCAGAGCTCCTGGCCGGGGCTGGAGGGCGCGGGACAGGGCGCCGCGCGACACACCACGCAGTGAGCGCTGCCGGTCTGGTCCACCACGCACGACTGCGGGCGCGGGCACATCACGTGCGCGCACGACTCTGCGAGCGGGGAGCCAGGACCGGTCAGGGGCGGGGGCCAGCCCGCCGCAGGTTCCACCCGCAGGCCCCGCCCCCGGCCGCGCCGGAAGCCACACCCCTTCCGCGCGCCCCGCCCACTCTCGTTCCACACCCAGGCCCCGCCCCTCTGGTTGCACCCGCAAGCCCCTCCCTGAGTCACGCACCCCAATCTCGCACCCCATGTGAGCCTCCCTTCCCGAAACCCCACCCCGCTTTTCCTCATTCCGACCGACCCCGGCAGAAGACCCAATCCGGAGGCGCTGTCCCTTCGCTAGGCCCCTCCCTCAGAGCGCCGCCAGGCCCCGCCCCCCGCAGGCCCCGCCCCCACGTACTGCGGCAGCGTCCTGGGTACATGACGCGCAGGTCCGGGTGGCCGCGGCAGCGCGCGGCGCGCAGCTCGCACTCGTCGCGGTAGGTGGCGCCGTCGGAGCCGCAGACCTGCAGGCGCGCCGGGAGCCCAGCGCAGTCGGGCGCGCACTCGCAGCGCGGGCGGCCCCCCTGCATGCGGCACGTCTTGCCGGGGCCGCACTCCACGCCCTCGCACGAATCTGCGGACACAGGGCACGCGCGCGTGGTGGTGGTGGTGGTGGTGGCGGTGGTGGTGGAGAGGTGCGTGGCCGAGGCCGGGCGTCCTCGGAGCCCACGGCACCCCCGTCCCTGCTCTGACGCCGGAGGCCGGGCGGGAGTCCGGGAACCCCGGAGAGGACGACTGGTTCAGAGTCTGGGTGCGGGATCCGTTGGGGACCAGATCAGCCACGGTCCCGGTGGACCGGGAGTCGAGGCTGCGCCTGGGCTTGGGGTTCTGTCTGGAGTTGGGGCTCGGAAAGGGCGGGAGTGGGTTGTTTCCGCTCGGTTCTGGGGGTCCAGGAACGAGCTTCCAGTACCCAGTCCCGGTGTCGCTCCGCAGCTGGGCCACCCGCTGGGGCTGGCGTGTTCCCTGATTTACGCGCGGTTATGGGAAGGCCGGCGCGGGGCCCGGCTGCGTCATCAGAGGGGGGCCCCACCCCGTCCAGGAGCGGGCCTGGGGAGGACCGGCCGCGTCTGTTCCCCGGGCCTGCCAGGACCAACCCAGAGGAGCCGTCGGGGAGGGTGGGGCGTTGGCACCTGGCCTGAGGCTCATTTTCTGGGGAGGGGGCTTCCCACATCCCGAGCCCAGTGAGCCCAGGGGATACCCCTCCCCGCCAGCCCTATTTCTCAGGGAGGGAAACAGGTCTGGCCAGGGCAAGTCTCTCCCTGGGGTCTTCGCTCCCCCCCCCCCACCCCAGACCTATTACTGCGCTGCTCCTCTCACAGGCCCTCCCAGGCTCCTTGCGGTCTCTCAACCACCCCTAGGAGGTGATGACACTTCATTAGCATTTTACAGAAGGGGGAAATCGAGGCCGTGTCACAGCTGTGAGTGGAGGAGAGCCAGGGGCCCCTCAGCATGAGAATCCCAGGCCAGGCCCCAGATGGAACCCCCCACCTCTGTTGCTTGTGGACCTGGAGGGCAGACTTGAGCTCTTGAGTTCAGCCTCAGTTTCCCTGTGTGTAAGTGAGGCTGACTGGGGTACCCACCTTACAGGGGGAGCATGAGCATAAAATGAGCTGGTGCACTGGTGCCCCCAACCAGGCAGAGGCAGGGCATGTGGGCCGCACCTGGGCACCTCCCACGCTGCCTGCCCACACACACATCTGGAAACGCTCCCCCTGGGTGGCTTCACAAGCAGAACGGAAGTGGGAGAACTGAGTTCCCTTCCCCTAGGCCAGATGAGATGTGGTGGTGGGGGGGTGATCTGGACCTTCTCATGCCCAGGCCAGGCACTTTTTGAAGTCTGTCCTCCCCCTGCCAGAACCCAGAGTAGGTTCTGGAGGGAGCCAGCCAGGGCACATGGCAGTGAGTCCAAGACCACCCAGCCAGGCCGAGCGGGGATTAATCACATCCCAGTGGCCAGCTGGGCTCTGGGCTTGGCCCTCAGCTCCAGCCTCCTCCCTGCTCCCCTGCCCTGACCCCACCCACTAGGGCCTGATCCCATACTTTCTCCATCTGGCAAACTCCTAATCACACTCCAACACCCTGGTCCTAATGCCCACTTCCTTCAAGCCATGCCTCACACTACCTCTGGGCCCTTGCAGGTTCAGCCCCGGCCAGAGAGGCCTGGGAGGATCCCCAACCCCTTCCTCCAGGGCAGAGAATGTGTCTTGGCTTATTCACTCAATCATTCTGCCTTCAAAGAGCTCCTAGTCTGAAGAAAGAGGCAGCATTTCTCAGGACACGATCCAGAAGGGACACGCTTATGAAACATGCATCTGTGGCCCCACCACAGATCGCTGGAATCTGGGGTGATGGGGAGATCAAGTGTTTGGGAGCACTGCCTGTGGAGTCACAGACCCCAGTGGCCAGTTAGGAAAATCCATCTTCCTAGGACTTGGGTGTGAGTCGGGTCTACCAGGTGGGGTGCAGCTGGGAAAGGCCATCCAGGCAGAGGGCTCAGCATGGGCAAGGGCCTAGAGGCTAGAAACCAAGCTGGGGAGTCCTCCAAGCTTCCTCCTGAATCCTCAACAGAGGGAGGCTGAGGCCTGGAACCTCAGGTCCCCTGTCTCTCTCCGAGCCCCGGGTCCCCCCACAAACACCCTTCCTAACAGCCATACCCCCAAGGCGGGGAGCTCATTCGCAGCTGCCCCACCTGCTGCGCGGTGACCCTGACCCGTGGCTGATGCCCAGGAGCTCACCTTTGCAGGGGAGGCAGTGGACAAGGCCCAAGAAGCCCAGAAGGCTGATCTTGTTCCCCGGGTGAGTGAAGTTGGACCAGGCGGTGTCAATGTTGCTGGTGGCACAACACTCGGCTTGGCTCACGTCAGTCTGCAGCACCAGACTGCAGGTGGCCTCTCGGCCCTGCTGGAGCCAGCAGACGCCGCCTGTGGACAAGGGGGACAGCGACCACTGGACCAGAGGTGCCCTCCTATGCCGCTCCCAACGCCCAGGCCTTCTACCCAGCTCCCCACCCACGGGGGATGCATACAGTTGGTGCTCGGTGATTACACGGGGGATGATTTTGCTCCCAACTTGGGAAGGAGGGGCAGAGACCTGCACAGGTGCTCCCATCCCAGCTCTGCTCTCGATCCCTCTGGGATTCCTCCTCCTCTCTGAGCCCCACCCCACACACAACCCTCACTCTTGGTGGGAAGCTGTTCCTACCCCACCCCCGACCTTGCTCCAGGCCCCCAGGCCCCCAGGCCCAGGCCTGGCGTCCTGCCCAACCAGTCAAACACTCAGAGCTCGACATGCCGGGGTCAGTGGGCCCTGGAGCCCCCTCTCCGCCTCTGCCCCTGCCCAGGACAGGCCCAGGCACGGACTTCTCAGCAGCAGCTCTTGCCTGGCTCCAGCCTACACTCACTCCAACTTGGGAACATTCTCCTTGCATGAGCTCACATCTCCCTGGGCACGCCTTCAGAGGGGCCAGGCTCTCCCTTCATGGCGGGGCTGGGCGTGCTCGGTGGGTCGGAAGGCAGATAGCCGTCCCTCACCCCAATGGGCGGAATGGCCTCCCCCATCCCCGGAGTTTGTCTGTTCTTCCAGGGGGCAGCTCTGGGAACTCAGCACTCTGGCACCCGTCTTCTAAAAGGAGAAACTGAGGCCAGCTTGGTGGGATATTCCTGTTGGCATCCTAACAACTGGCAGGTACGGGACTCCAATGGCCCGTCTGCCTAAGCCAAAGCTGGGAGGATTCTGACACATCGGTGGAGGGTCCTGGGGCCTGCCACTCCCCCCCCCCCAACCCATCCCCGCCTCTCTGGGGCTTCAGGACATAGATGGTTCCGGTTCGATCCTGATCTTGACCGGGGCTGTGTGGACTCGCTCCTCAGCTCCCTCTCCCATCGGAAAATGGGCGTGAGTACACACATTAATGGGCTATCACATGAATTCAAGAGGCTAGAGTGGTAGACATTAAGCGGGCCAATAAAATGTCAGCCGTCATCGAGACGACCACTCTTTTGACAATTGTGAAAGGGAGTCACTTGCTCTACATGACTCCATGTGACCTCCCTTCAGGCCCTTTGGGGCTGGGGGAGGGGAGCCCCAAGCCCCTCCCGGACCTGAATCCTGAGGAGGCCGCGATCAGCGGCTGACACGGCTGCCAAGTGCCCAACGTCTCCCCCCAAGCGCCCGCATTCCGGGCAGGCTCCACGGGTGGTGTGACCCTGACCTCTCTTCCGGCGCCCCACTCGGGCAAGGGGTCCCCGAGCCCACGGAGCCCACGTAGCCCATGCCTGGGCCAGGGCCCCTATCAGTGGCCGCGGCCCCGGCAGTCCCTGGCATGGCGGACGGAGACGGTGGCAGGCCCCGCGTCGGAGGCGCGGGCGGGCGGCGCGGCTTGGAGGGCGGCGTGCCTTCGCCAGGCGCCGCGGCCGGGCGCTCCTTTGCATGTCCCGCTGGCTGCGGAGCCAGGAAGCGCGGGGCAAGGGCGGGGGGCGCGCACGGTGTGTGCAGGGGCTGGGCCTGGCCACCCCGAGGGCAGCTGCGCGGGGGCGGGGGAGGGGGGAGTGCGACCCGGGAGCCCGAGAACTCGCCCGGGAAGGTGTCCCCGTGGCCGGGGCGAGAGGGCCAGCCTGGCCCCTGGTGTGAGCTCCGGGGCTCACCGCGCGTTTGGGGAGGTGGGGTCTTCGGCCGGAGGGCTGTGGCTGAGCTCGCCGGGGACCCACGGAGAGCCGGCCTACGGTTCCGTGTCAGCCGCGTCGTGGCTTGCTTGCGGTCGCTCGCTCACGTGGCGCCCCCAGACTCATCCCCGCCCCGGTGCGCCCACACACTTCCGGAGACCTGAGTCCCGGCAACGCCCACTCGCACCCCGGGGGCCCCCACCTGTCCGCTGGAGCCCGTGGGCACAGCTGGGCGTGAGCAAGTGCGGGTGGGCGAGGGGCGGGCGGCAGCAGAGGCGGAGGGGCGCAGGGGCGACAGCGGGAGACCCAGAGCCACCAACGGTCCCTCCCGGCGTCATGGACAGCAGCGATCCTACCGCACGACTGCCACAGTGTGCCGGGCGCGCCCGCCCCCCAGACCCCTACAAACGGTCCTCCCAGGCCGCATCAAAGAGAACTCACTGGCTAGGGTTTTCTCCTCTCCCCAGGTTCAGTGCGGTGTCTGCAGCCCCTGGCCACCTGGAATCCCAGACTTTCCAGTTTGTGACAGTGACCTCAGACATCAGCGTGGCCCTGGAAAGTAGTGACCACTGGGGCCTTAGTGCGGCGGACACTCTTCCTGTTTGGGAGCCCCCCCCCAAATTGTCAGGGCATCCTCCAAAGGCTCGGGGGTCCTGTACAGCCCCTCTCTGAGTTTCCAAGAAATAATTCTTGACGATCTCCTCATGGCAGGGCTTGTTCAGGGTGCTGGGTTCCCGAGTGACCAAGGAATGCCCTGTCTTGTCATCACCAAGCCCATGGCTTGCAGGGGCCGCGGAAATGAAATCTGTACACAGACAAATTAATATATGACTTCAAAGAGGGGAAATGCTTTCGGGAAAATAAAAACGCTTGCGAGCAGTATGGTGTATCGTGGGGGGGTGCCTCGTCACCCCCCCATTCCCGCACCTCCCCCCACTCCTTCCCCAGGTATGGAACCCAAAGATCCCTGCAGCCACACAGCAGACGCCTTCCGTATACACGAGATCTGTCAGCAGCATACACCACACCTAGACCTCTGCCCCATCTCAGTTGCTCAGCCTGACCCATGTGACCCCACCCGTGGCCAAGGGCCACGTTCCTGCCCAGTGGCACTGAGGGAGGACACCCAGCTTCTTGCCCTGTCCTTGGCCTCTGAGTATGTGAGGGGATTCTCCCCCGGTGGGGGATGGGCCGGGGATGGGACCCTATGTCCTCACCAGGGGTGTGCAAGAGCTGGACATTGTGGCCTTGGCCGAGGGCTGACCCTGCTGTGCCTCAGCCGCCCCAGCCTGGGTTTGTGCAAACCAAAGGGTCATTGTTGGCCTGGCGTGGGTTCGAAACTGAGACCAGTTGCCAGCAGCCTCCTGCCTCCCATCCTGGCCTATCTCTCCGACCCAGAGGCCATGTGCTGGGTGACCTTAAGCAAGACACTGGCCCTCTCTGGGGAGCCCTCCCCACCCCCCTTTTTGGTCTCTCCTTTTCATGCCCTCCTGTCCACCCTGAACTGGTCTCAGCCTCATCCCCTGCAGCCTGCTTCCTACCTTGGCTGTCTACCATAAGGCTCCTCCCCCAGCTCAGACATCCACCATGACTCCCCGTGGCCCCAGGCTTCACTCCTCCAGACCCCACAGAAAACAGGCAATGACAATCCAAAGTGATCAGGACTGTGATGGAGGATGCTATACCCAGTGCAGACTGGGGAGGCCCAGGCAGACTTCCCAGAGGAGGAGGACATTTAAATCGCATTGGACTGAACAATGGTGAGGAAGGGGGTGTGGGGACAGAAGTGATAGGATGTTTGTGCTACAGGTAAGAGAAAACCCACCTCAAAGGTTTGGATCAGGGAAACGGTCCGGGATTCGCAGGTGGGCCCAGTGGAATCAGAGGATCGTCAAAAGCGGATACCACTTCCCTCTGTGGTCACAGTGATGTACGTGACCTGCCATTGCTGTCTGTGAAGGCAGAGGAAGGGGCCTTGAGCCAGTGCATAGCCTCTAGAAGTTGGAAAATCAAGGAACAGACCCTCCCCCCCCCCCCCCCCCCCCCCCCCCGAGACTCCAGAAGGAACACAGCTCTACCAATACCTCGATTTTGGTTCAGGGGTGGACTTCTGACCCCCAGAACTGGAAGAGAAGAATGTGTCTTGTTTCAAGCCACCACGTTCGTGGCAGTTCCTTGGAGCAGCAACGGGCACCGAGTGCAACAGACTGGGTTACAGTCTGGGTGCTACAGACTGGGTTTGGTGCCACAGTGAGAGGGCCCCCTTTGGCTGGAGACAAACGAGAGTGATCACAGGTATGAAGGCAGGCGGCGGCATAGACGCCCCCAGGAGCAGGAGGGTGACTCTGGGGCCTGGAACGAGAAGGGGCCTTCTGGGGGAAGGAGGATGTGCCGCCTTGGCTAGGCCACGTGTGTGGCCATTTTCTCTCTGTGCCCATTTCCTCACCTGTAAAATGGGCACAGATCCCAGTCCTGCAGATTCTAGGAAGGACGCCAGGGACAGTGCCTGGTGCACGGTAGGGGCACGACATGTGTGCCCAGGTTCTTATTAACCAGCAGATAACTGTTTGCCCAGGGAAGATGTGTGACGCGTCTTCTCTGCCACTCACCACAATGCTGTGAGACAGGCATCCGTTTTACAGAGGGGGTATTTGAAGCTGGAGGAAGGAAAGTGACTTTCCGGCAGTCACAAAGCCCCACAGTGTCGGGACAGTACCAGAGAAGCAAGATCCCAGGCCCCATGTGCTGAACTGTGGGGCAGGTCCCTCCCCATTCTGGATCGGACATTGGGGGCCAGCCCCCAGGTTGTGGCTGGCATCCCGTTCTGGTTCCAGCACTGGATTTTCCTTTGAGAAATCACCTCCTGTGCTTCCAGTCCAAATGACCCCAGGAATGGACACCAACCCAGGCTCAAACAATTAGAATCATCTGACATTCAGCAAGCCGGGAGGAGTAAGCTCTGAGATTTTTTTCTGGGATCCAGAGACACCAACTTCCTGCCTGAGCTAGATGGGTGTGAGCCTAGAGCTGCAGGTGGCTCCTACCAATGGCCAGGGAGAGGCCAATCCAGTGGGATGCTGAGCCAAGAGGGGGCAGCAGAAATTCCCTGTGCCGCTATTGGAGTCCTGGATCCAGCTGCACCTGAACTCCTCCACCCCAATAAGACGAAGTCCATTTAAGCTGAGTTTCTGTCGCTCGTAGTGGACAAAACCAGCTTTCAATAAGCCCATTTACATTTTATTCAAGTGGAGCCTTTAGGACCCAGAGCAGTGGGTCTGCAGGGGCTTTAGGAATCACAGACACCCTGAAGTGCAGACCTTTGCCTCCAGGATATGGGTCTTAGCTTGGTCCCGAACGGTCAGGGTCGCCCCCGCCCCCCCTCCCTCCGCCCCCAGCTCCCACCTTCCTCAAGCCGGAAGAAGGCTTGTGATGGACTCCACACTCACTCAATGTCCACAGCCCTTGCACTAGGACCTGAAAACTTCAAGGCCTTGTGGGTTCTCCGATAGGGTATGTGATGTTGATAACCAAGGCAGCACCTGAAGACTCGGGGATGGTGGATGCTACGGGAGAACTCTGGTCAGAGCTGGGCTTCATGACGCCTTCATCGGATGTGCCCTCCCCTCTCAAACGCCACCGTGGCTCCCCATGGCCCCTGGACGAAGTCCAGGCTTCTCAGCCTGGGTTCCAGGCCCTTCCTGCTCAGTCCATGCAATCCCCGCTGCAACGCTTCCACGCCACCCCCAAGCGCCCCCACCGCACCGCCGTCCCCGCAAAGTGACCAGATCTTGGGCAGGGAGCCGGCAGTATGATTTGTAACCAAAGGTAGGGCCCGCCCTCCTCTTGCTAGCCGTTGGTTTAGGCGTGACCATGTGACCCAGATCTGGCCAATGGTAGGAGAGACAACCTGCCAGGGCGGGGACTGGAAGACGGCGCGGCCGAGCGTGTGTGCACGTGACCCGTGAGCGCTTGATGGATTCGGTTCCCGTTTGCTGCTCTAACAGATGACCGCGATTCTAGCTGCACAAACCCGACGCCTCGCGGTGCTGGGGGTCAGGGGTCTGAGGCGGGTCTCAGCGGCCAAAATCAGATGTGTCCGGGGGTCGCAGCGCTCGCCGCTGTCCGGCCCGTGGCCTCTGCGTCCTCGCCCCCAGGGCGCGTCCTCTATCCTGCAGCATTCTCGCCCCCAGGGCACGTCCTCACCACCCGGCACAGGGGCGACCTGGGCACGTCCTTGTCCTGTCATCCACCTTGGCCCGTCGTCTGTTTGCTCAGGTGTCCAGTGTTCTGGGGTTGGGCCTGTGAACGGGAAGAGAAAGCACCAGAACTCGCTTGGCCTGATCCAAGCCTGTGCCGTGTGTAAGGTCACGGCCCAAAATGTCCCGTGTGGGAGAACTGACAACCACAGGATGCGGAACGAGACAAAACCATGGAGATGAGCAGCCAGCTTGGATGAGGCTGCGGATTAGCCCTGACTTTGTGTCTTTGGTAAATGTGCCTTCGGTTCAGGTAAGCGAGTAGCTTGCTTTTGGAGATACACCTGGGTGTGTATGAATAAAATGAAAAATAGAAATAAAAAGTACAGGCCAACAAGCACGAATAGAAAGGGAAGGGATGCCTGGGTGGCTCAGTCGGTTGAGTGTCTGACTGTTGATTTCTGCTCAGGTGGTGATCCCAGGGTCATGAGATGGAGCCCAGAGTCAGGCTGAGGGTGGAGCCTGCTTGGGATTCATTGTCTCTCTCTCTCTCTCAAATAAAAATTTTTAAATGGGGGAGAAAAGACATAACTCAAAATACACAAATAAAATTTTTAAAAGACAAAAACTGTGTACTCAGACGGTGGCACATTCACACCTGTAGGAATACTGGCTGGTGGGCCAGTGGCCCTACCTGCTTGGTGCCTCGGTCTCTTGCCTGCAACATGGGAACTCGCTTTCTCCAACCCCGACGTCCCCGAAGGCTCCTCCCTGAGGCTTGATTTGAACTAAGCAGGTGAATACGTGAGGGCACACCTGCCCCCTGGCCCAGGACAGGCCACTTAATGCCACCAGCTCTCTGGTGGTTGAATGTGGCTCCAATCGGAATCTCCATGGCTTGGTCCCTCCTGAGAACGAACCAAGACCGTTCTAACTCTCATCTGGAAAAATAAATGAGAAAGAAAAGAAGTTCAAACATGGTCACTTGCCCCAAATCAAGATCAAAACACACTACAAAGCCACAAGAAAAGGAACAGAGTGAACCTGGGAGAGGATTGGGGGGGGGGGCCTGCCCTTGTACAGGCTCCACCTCCTGAAGTCTCCCCACACAGAGGACAAAGCTACTGTGTCCCTGGGTGACAGGCGAGGAAACCTAGCAAGAGCAGAAGTCACCCGCCCAAGGCGGAGACTCAAGGGTGTACGGTGTCAGGGCAACTTCCCCTCTGCCCCTGAGGCCCCTGGCTCAGCGTGGCGGCGGCCGCGGCGGAAGGAAAGGGTGCTCCCGGCAAAGGGGAAGGCACGTGAAAGGTCCAGCAACTAGAGAGAGCTGGGAGACTATAATCACAGCCGCCACTTGCAGAGGCAGCCTCCCCGGGAGGTGGGGGGCAGACCCACTTTACAGATGAAAGACTGAGTCTTGGAGGGGCTGTTGGTCCTTGTCTTGCAGTGTCTAGGGGGAAGCACAACCGTGTTGTGGGAAGTCTGAGGAGGGAGGCATGGCCCTGTCCTGGGGGGTATGTGTAGGGCCCAGGTGCCGCCACCTCCTCAACCCACTTTCAGAGCCTTTCTCGGGAAGTGCTGGGCAGCCCTCAAGTTGTGTTTCACTGTGCCTGGCAATCAGAGTGCCCTCCCAGGTCTGTCCCAGCAGCAGCAGCAGCAGCAGCAGCAGCAGCAAGGTAGCCACAGGGCCGGAAGTGGGTACCTGAGGGCCCCAGAACTGCAGAGACACCGGGTCATTTGCAGACACGGCCTGAGTGCTTGCATTCCAATGCCACAGTCCCAGGGTAGCCAGCAGGCAAGAGCCCATGCAGAGGGCACAGAGACCCAATGGCCTGTGCCTGAGTCCTGGCCCTGCCGCATGACCATGTTTGAGCCCTCAGTCTCCCCAACTATAAAATGGGGGTCTTCATTTTCCTCACATCATGGTGCTTGCATGAAGATTAAACTTCAGGCCCAGCACATACTTAGCTCTTAGTTTTATAGTACACAAACCCTGCCTGGGCCTGGCACGCAGCAGGCACTCACTAATTGTTCGTTTATTTAAGAATCTATGGGGCATCTACTATATGCTGAGTACTGGCCTCGTGTATTGGGAGACGCCATTGATAACTCCTGGATTTGGGGATAGCCGTAGGAGAAGGAAAGAGGGTGCCAGGCAGCGGGGTGCAGTATGGGATGGGGCTCCCTCAGGGGGGGATTGGAAACAGAAGCAAGGAAACAGAAGGGACAGTGGGAAGGGCGTGCCCAGCAGAGGGCATGACCAGACAGGGGTCGTGAGGTGGGATGCAGCTTGGCCCACCCAAGGGGACCAGCGAGGACCAAGGAAGTGCCGTGTGTGCCCATGTGTGCTCCCAGCCTCATCCAATCCCAAAACCCGGGAGGTGGGTTCTGCCATTTGCACAGAGGAGTTAAGTGACCTACCCGGGGTCACACAGCCAGCATGACTTGGTTGGATTTGAACACAGGCCTGATGGTTGCAAGGCCTCTTGCTCAATACCTCATAAACTTCTACAGGATGAACGAATGAATGAATGAATGAATGAATGAATGTTGGTGGTGTGAAATGAGCTAGGGGCTGGGCTTGAGTGGCCTGAAATGAACTGCCCTCCCTGGATCTGGGGTTTCCTGGATTCCCAGTGATGGGACCCGCATACTCTCTAGTGGCCAGACCAGGAATGGCTTGGAATCCCCCCTGAACCTTGAGGGGGACAAGACTGACTGTCAGAGAAGTCCCTGTCCCTACCCTGACATTCAAGATCCTTTGTACACAGGCTCCAATTTTTAATGCCTTGACAGTCTGGTTCCTGTGCCCCCTTTTGCGGGAGGCCCAACTCCAACCTACTCCTATTCATTCCTCAAAGCCCTGGCTCAAATGCCCCCCTCCCCTAGGAAACCCTGTCTGTCTCCCCAGGCAGAGCCAGTACGACCGTAGGGACCCATCCTCTGGCTCAGCCTCACGGGGCTGGGGTGCCTGCGTCCAGCTCTGTCTCCCTGAGCCACCGAGCCACTTTCATTGCCTGTTGCGTCGCGTTCGGTGTCGTGTCCTTGTACCACCCATCACAAAGTGTGGCATGTGGCAGGTGACCCACGAACGTTCTGTTGAGTAGATGAGGGAAATAAGTTCATGACTGGGCTGGAATTAACCTCAGAAATGTTCCGGGCCTGTGCCAGGTGATAGTGCAGTTTTTGCTGATTAATTTTTTGGAGAGGGGAGTGGTTAGGTTCTCTTTGCTCTCAAAAACAAGGCCACACCCTGCAGGCCTTGCACTGTCTTATCCCGTGGGTCACACTGAGGCACAGAGGGCAGTCCTCCTTCGACCCAGGAGCGGGTCTCCCTGCATTTATTCAACGAGTGTTCATGGAATACCTGTGTACCAGGCGCTATTAGGAGTCCAGCTGGGAACAAGATATAAACACCCTTTCCACTGTGGAGCCGACTCTATGGTTCGTCAGGCGGGAATAAGTGCCATTGAGAAGGGCAAAGGCTTGAGAAAATGAGAAAGCAAGCCACGCAGGTGTCTGGGGTGCACCCGGCGGGGGCACAGCAAGTGCAAAGGCCCGGAGGTGAGAGTGCGCCCGGTGCCCAGAACCAGTGAGGACGGCGGGGGGACAGAAAGGCGGCACTTGGGATAGAAGACCCGACGAGGGAAGTGGGAGCCTAGCCTCTTTCGGAGAAGAGGAGGGGCTCGACCCCACCCCGCGCAGGCCGCTCCCTTCGGCCTCCTCGGAGCCGGGCCTCGCCCCCAGCCACACCCCCTCTCCCTGCTCGGGGGTGCCAAGGAGACTCGGCCCCGCCCCTCCCAGCCCCGTCTTCGGGCTTCCAGGCCCCGCTCCGTCCCCTTCCTTACTCGGAGCCCTGCGAGAGAGGCGCCCGCACTGAGTTTGTCCCTCCGCGACCACCGTCGCCCGGGCAGGCGCCTGCCGCGCGCGCCGCCCGCCTCGCTCCCGCGCGCTCCTCCACCCCACGCCGTGCGTGCCTTGCGTGCCTTGCGTGAGCGTGCGCGGGCGCGTCGGCCGGCAAGGGAGCAGCAAACGGCCGGCGGCGGGCGGCGGGCGGCGGGCGCCGCGCGGGGGGCGGGCGGCGCGGAGGAGGCGGCAGTGGCCATGGCCGAGGCGTCGCCGCAGCCCGGACGGTACTTCTGCCACTGCTGCTCGGTCGAGATCGTGCCGCGCCTGCCGGTGAGGCGCGGGCCGGGGCGGCGGGCGGGGGCTCTCTCTCCCTTGGCCTGAAGCGAGCTGGCCCCGCCGGGGAAACTGAGGCCCGGGCGGCGTTGGCCCGGGTCTCTGCGGAGGGCCCGGAGGCGGGGCCCACCCCCGGGGAAGCAGCGGGACCGATGATCCCAGATGCGCGGCGGGGAGGCCGCTCGGTCCCCGATGGGGAAACTGAGGCCCGCAGAGGCCGCGTGACCTGCGCTCGGCGCCCCGCCCCGGAGGAGGGAGGTGGGGGGAATCGGACCCCGGGAGATGTCTCCGGGGGCCGTTCCCGGAGCGCGTGGTCGGCGCTGCGGGCGCCTGGCTGCGGGCCGCCTCGCCGAGCGCTCCCGCCTGCTTTCCCGATGTCGAGACAGGACGGCTGTGTACCTGGCCCGGGCCTGACAGCCCCGGGCAGACTTTCGTGACCTGAGCCTGCGCTTTTGTGCTTCCCCGGAGTGGGGGTTGGGGGCGGGTTTAGGCCCGCCTGTGGCCAGGTGTTGCCTTCTCCTTTAGGCCAGCGTTTCCCAAACCGTGTGGTGCGGCAGGGGACTGCTTGTTCACCGTACGGTGTTTCAGGCTCCTCGCCCCGGAGGTTCCTAGTTAGCAGGTCTAGGATGGGGCCCGTGTTCCCCTGCTCCAGGCCCACAGGGAAAGCGGTGGTCTAGTTCGACCCTTTCCTGTTTTACAGGTGGGAAAAATGAAGCCAGGGGAAGCGCAGGCCAGCTGTGGCCCTGACATCCTGACAGTTGCCCCTGGGCCAGCTCCCACGGAGCAGGAAGAGGGAGGTGTGGGATGGTGGAGGCCCTGCAGGTGGTGAGGATTTATTGAGCACTTTCTAGGTGCTTCTAGTACTTTGTCTCTGGCCCGCATGCTCCCCACAGTCGCCTGGGTGGTGGGTGGTGGGTGGAGGCTGTTCTCGTCTCAAAGCCAGACTCAGTCCTGCCTTTGCCAGCAGTGGGGACCCCTGGGAGGAGGGGGCCAGGGGAAGGAGTCTATGGGCATCATCCCAGCCACAGAGGAAGGAAGTGGGCTCAAGTCAGGTTGGGAGCAGAGAGCAATGCCTGGGCCCAGAAGGCGAGAAAAGGTAGGGAGGTGCGGCTTCCAGAAGCAAGGGAGGAGGGAGAAATAAAACGAAACCTCAGCTGTGAGCACCCGCTGGGGGAGCCGACACTTGCCTCACTCTAGCCTCCCGGAAGTCCTGCTTCTGCCTTTTCTGGCTTTCTGCAGCCCCAGCTCCGTTCTCGACCGTGACCACGGCAGGAGGCGGCTGGTGGCCTGACAGCTCACCGGCCTGAGTTAGTTGCCTGCAGCCCCTTGCGGCTGGTATGAGCCCAGGACAGGCCCTGGGACCCAGGCTTTCCCCAGAGCAGCCTGCCCGGAGCCGAGGGGGACCTGGGGCTGGGCGGTCTGCATAGCCAGCTGTTCTGGGCCTCTCTTCCTGGGGCCAGCACAGGGCCTGGGGCCTGGCCAGGTGTGCCCGCTTCCTGGCCATGTGGCCTTGGACCCGGAGCACCCTGATCTCTTGCAGCTGTCACCGGGCTGGGGAGGACCTGCCTCAGCACAAGAATCCGGTGGTGACAAGGTATCCTTGACCTCTGCCCTCAGAGTTTATAGGCTGGTCAGGGAGCCGGTGTTGAATAAGTGATTGGCAAATATTTAGTTAGGAATGCTGGCAAATTCCGTAAAATTAGCAAATGGCAGTAAGGTACTCGTGTGCCTGTTTGTGGGTTTGAAGGGTTCCATGAGGCCCGGTGGACAGGGTGACTGTTTACCAGTAAGGGGCGCACCTGCTGTTTCGGGATGGGGAGGGTTGGCCCTCAACCTGGTAGCGGTGGCAGGTCCCAGCCAGCACGCAGCACGTTCTGTTCACGGGAGGTAGCCCTGACTTTGGCCTGCTCTAGGGCGTTGGGGCTGGGTTTTGTGCAGTTCTTACTTTTGATTTTTGTCACCATCGTGGTACCTCTGTAGGCACTGAGATAGTGCCCGCTCTCAGGTGCTTCTCGGCAGGGTCGGGCTGAGGCCACACCCAGCTGTGCCTCTTATCACCAGCGTGGCTCTGGGTGAGGTGCTCGACCTCCCTGGACCTCCGTTTCTTCGCCTGCAAGATGGGCTTGACGAGATAACCCGTGCCCACTCGGTGGGAGCACACGTGTAGGGGGGAGCCCAGTGCCTGGCTCCCAGGACGGGGAATGGCTGGCAGCCTAGCCGGAGCAGGGCATGTGGGAGCAGGAACCAGACAGGCCGGCTGGCTTGAGGGCCTCCGAGCCTGGCACACAAGCCCAGACTCGAACCTGCCCGGGAAACGGCAGCTCTTGGGATGAGGCGGACGTGCGGGGTTGTGTGGCGCGACTGCAGGGCTGTGGAAACGCAGCGTCCACGGGCCGCCACCTGGTGTGCTTGGCACCCTGGGGCTCGCCAGGAGGTGCAGGTTCCCACCAGGGGGGCTGAGCGGGTGGCAGTCCGGGGTTGTGTCCACCCCTGTGCCGCGGCCCCGAGCGCCTCGCCGCAGGCGGTGCCTCCGATGGCCCTCTTCAGGCCGCCTTCTCGTTGCTGGCGACTGCTTTCCTTCTCAGGGACGGCCTGAGTGTGTGACTGGGCAGGACCTGGACCCGGAGGGCGCTGGGGGGAGGAAGCCAGCCTGTGGTCAGCGCCCAGCGGCGGTGGGTGTCTGCCCTCGCTCTCGTTAGGCCTCAGTCTACATGTCCTCTGTCCTTGCCCCTCGAGGGGCCTCGAGGAGTCCTGGCCCCTGATGCTTAGCAGAATAAGTGGAGTCCTTCCCATGGGGCACCTGGGGCCGGGCCTGCCTCCCCAGGCACCCTGTGGCCTTGAGCGGGTCCCTCTGGCCACCTGACAGCTCTGTGTGCCCACGTGCCGGATGCTGTGTGTCGTGCTGGGTCCTGCCCTGTGACCAGCCGTCTGTTCACCGCTGCAGAAATCCGGGTGCTCCGACGTGTGGGCTGCCCCTCTGGGGGAACAGACCCCACCCTGCAACTCCACACAGCGGGTGCCACAGAGAGGGCTGGCATTTGCTCAGGGTCTGAAGTCAGCGGGGCAGGAAGTGAGCTGAGCCCCCAAAAGGTGGCTGGATGCTGGGCGGAGCCACATCCTAGGGCACCCCAGGCCTCTGAGTCACGTGGCACTGTGGGGAGGCTGAAGTGAGGTGGGGCTCCCAGCACAGTGGGCACACATGTCGTGTCACACGGGGTCCTGGTCCCTAGCAGTGGTGTCAGAAGCACCCTGGCAAGATCAAGGAAGCTTGTAACATCTTCTGGGCTCTGTGTGTAAGCATCACTGGCTCCCTGTGGGCCTCACACACGGCCGGATCCCGGCGTGGCTCTGCACCCCGGCATCCAGCGGTGTGCGTGATGCTCACGGGCGCTTGGGGGACAGGTGGGGTCAATGTGGGGTGTGGTGCCAGCAGGGTGGGCCTTCCGTGGGCCCCGGGCACCTGTCTGCCCAGTGGCAGCTGAGGAGGGCTATGTAGAGCAGCCAGTGCATTCCCGCGGTCCGTGGGCTGGTGGGGCACAGGCTGGGAGCACCACCAGCAGGGGCCTGGGTGTCCCATCACGTCTGTGTCTGGGGCTGGGTCCGTGTTCCTTCGACGCAGTGCTACACTTGGGTTCTGCCTCTCCTGGAGGGGCCTTGAGGGGCCGGGGCCCACGGAGGCCGAGGTCACTGTACAGCAGGCGATCCCGTGGGGCCAGCCACCTCTCTACCTCCCGCCCGAGTTTCCCTGATTTAATCATGCTTGCCTGGCCGTGGTGCGAAGGAGTGCCTGAGTGAAGGGTGGCGTCTGTCCCGCAGGGCTGCCCTGGCTGACCCTGGGAGACCTGGGCAGGCTACTCCCTGGTCTGAGCCCCCGGGTCCTCCTCGTCACCGAGGAGCGGCTGAATTGCACCTCTTAGGCACGGCATAGAGACCGAGCACAGAGAGCGAGCGCTCAGTGAATTTCGCGTCTGTCTGTCCTGTCGTTGGTGTTCTGGCCACCGCCGTTGCTGATGATGCTGGGGTGGTCCCCTTCATTCCCTCTCCTCCTCCTAGGGGGAGAGGTAACTGATTCACGGTGAGGAACCATCAGAGACAGGCGCTCACAAGTTAGGGCCATTGAGCGCCGGCTGACCCCCACCTGGCAAGTGGGGCTGTCACCACCTGGACCTGGGCTCTGCCCTGTGGGTGGCAGACATCCATCCCAGCGTCTCCTGGCTTGGATGCAGATGGCCGTTACTGGCTAGTCTGATTTAACAGGAACCGGTGGGGTGTGCCCGTGGAGGAGGAGAGCACTGGGGCACCCCCAGATCTGGTCCCTTCCCTGCTGCATACAAGCAGAAGCTGCAGCCCACTCCTGAAATGCCAGTGTCAGGTGGCCCATGGTCAGGCCGATCTGGACTCAGCGTGGGGCTCGCATGGGGATGGAGAGTGTGGAGGCAGGGCCCTGACCGCAGCCAGCTGATGAGCCATAGCCCTCTGGTCCTCAGTGGCTGCTGGATTTCAGAGCCCTAGGGTTGAGGCCATCCTCCGTTTACAGGTGGGGAGACCGAGGCTTGCAGCCAGGATGTGACGTTTGAGCAGAGACCCGACTTCCAAGAGGGGGCAAGCCAGGTAGCTATCTGGGGGAGAATGCTCCGGCAGAGGGGATGGTGTGCAGGCCCTGAGAAGAGAGGGCAGGTGGCGGTGGCCTGGATGGGGCAGGGAAGCGGGAGTGGCGGGCCAGCTTGTTCTGAGCCGGCCGCAGGGGAGGAGAGTGCAGAGCAGGTAGTTCGATGAGGTTCTTGTGCGCCGCGTGGGATGGGGCTCCAAGGTGACGCTCAGAAATGGCACCCGGCCTTGGTAGCAGAAGAGGTTGCCTGTTTCTAGCAGGTCAGGCTGAGGCTGAGGCTGAGGCCGCCTGGCTCACCGGTCCTGCCCTGGCTCTTCCAGGCTTGCCCAGGGGAGCATGGAGACTGGGCGCGGGCGGCGTGCTCAGAGGAGAGGAGGGGGAGGGACAGCTTCTCACCCAGGCCCCCCCACCCCCATCCTGGCTGGAGAGGGCGGGCGCACTTCTGATTTCCGTCTCCCCCGTAGGGCGGGTGTGGTGGCGGTGGGCTCCACCAGGGCCCAGAGAGAGCCTGGACCTTGCCGCCGGCCCCGAGCCAAGGGGAGCCCTGAGCAGACGCCTGCTGTCGTCTGTGACATGGCCACGCTAAGGGCTTGATTGCCAGCGTCCTAACCGAGGCCGTCGCAGCCACCTGCAGCCACACTGGCCCATGTCCGTGGCCCTCTCTCCCCTTGGGGCTGCACCAGGCCGTGGGAGCCCTGGCCCGTCCACAGAGCTTCACGCGGCCGTCTTCCACTGCAGCCAACGGTCCGAGGGTTGGTCGTTCACTGTGGAGCCGAGCTGCCCGTCGCCCCAGTGTCCCCACTTGGGAGGGCAGGGGTCACTGTCCTCGCTGCGCCTTCTGACGGCTCTGTTGAGATACAACTCACCTGTTCACAGTGTGCATGTCAGTGTTTTCCACACGCTCAGGGCCCTGCACCCACCACTGCTATCTCGTTCCAGAACATTCCCTCACCCTAAAAGGAAGCCCTGTCCCCGTTAGCATTCACCCTCACTCCCCCTCCCCTCCCCCGGCCCCCACGAACCCCCTTCCGTCCGTGGACGAGCGTGTTCCGGACGTTTCACACACGTGGACTCACACCCCGTGGGGCCTCTCGTGTCGGGTTCCCTCCCTGAGTGTCGTGCGTTCAGGGTTCGTCCGCGGGGCAGCGGGGGTGGGCGCCTGCGCGGTGGACACGGTCATCTGTGCGCGTGCGCGGGGGACGTGGTCATGTGTGGGCGTGCGGGTGGGGGTTGCGTGGACGTGAGTGTTCGTGTCTCTCGGGTGTGGACCCAGCAGTGGGGTCGCGGGGTCGTGTGGTGACCCTGGGGTTGACCTGACGAGGAACTGACCGCGGGCCTGTCTTCCAGAGAGACCGTCCCGCTTCTCGTCCCCACCGCCAGCCGGGGGTTCTGGTTCCTCCACTTCCGCTGACGCTTAGCCGTAGTCGGCTGAGTGTCGCGGTCCCGGCGGCCGGCCGGGAGGTGGTGTCTCACGGGTTTCGGTTTGCGTTTGCTCGTTGCCTGACGGTGTCGAGCGGCTCTCTGCTGGTTTGTCGCCCTTTGTGTGTCTTTGGAGAACTGTTTTAATTCTTTGGTCATTTTTTAGCCGGGTTGTTTGTGTTTTTGGCGTTGAAGCGTTAGAGCTCTGTATTCTGGATCCCAGCTCCTATGGTGGGTGCAGTTCCTTCCTGTCCTCCCCAGTCGGCTCAGACAGTGTTCTTTGACCCCACCCTCCCTTTGCTTTTGGTGGCGGGGTAGGAGGGGGGACATGGCGCGTGCTGTGGTGGCACCCACTGCCCTGGTGGAGGTGCCTGGCACTCCCGGTGAGTGTCCACAGGGAGGCCTGTGCCTGCTGAGCCACCGGTGCCTGTGGCTCACGTGGGGCCATTGGCGGCCCCCTCCTTGACAGAGTCTGCATCCCCTCTGTGTCTGCCACTCGGCACGCGGGGACAGTGCTTCCAAAACGTCACCTTAGGTAGAAGCACAGCTTGCGCTCACGTCTGTGTCTTCCTGTCTGGGTGGCTTTTGGACACTCGTGCGAGCCCCCAACCCACAAGTTTGGTTTTGGTGTTTCCATGCCTTGCGGCCCCTGGGGCCCGCCCTCCACTCGGGACATTACACCTCCCCCATCTGACTGGTGGGCCTGGCTGGGGCGGGAGTGGCTGGGCTTGGAGGGGGCATGGCCAATGGGGGTGGGGTCACACTGCAGCCTGGGGTCACAGGCCCTGCGCTGGGATTGCTGGAATGTTCCAGAGATGCCACCACAGGACACCCGCGGGCTGGTCCCTTTGCTCAGGTGGCGCTTCCCGCCCTCAGCGGCCGCCTTCCTGGGAGCTGAGCTACTGAGGCCTCAATAGTCCTGTGACCCCACAGTCCCTCCTGCAACCTTCTCAGGAGCTCGGGGCAGGTGCCTTTATATGCAAAAGGGGAGTCTCTCACGGAATGTTCTCACGTCTCACGTCTGCACAAGTCGGGAACTGCTAGGTGGACCCGCATCAGCTGACCTGTTTGGTACAGGCTTCTTCAGAGCCTTCAACAGCTGGTGTGGCTTAGTGGAGGCCTTGAAGCTCGGAAAGTTTCGTCACCCTGAGGAGCGTGGGCTGATGGACTTTGGCACGGCAGGAGCTCACCTGGGGGCTCAGGCCTCGCCTGCACGAGGGGCAGGTCGAGGTGGCTGCGGTCATCACCACACAGAGGTGGTGGCCTCGGATGAAGGGCGCCCGCCTCTCAGACATCTCAGAGACCCGGCAGGTCTGTGCCAAATCGGACTCTGGGCCTGAGCAGTTTCACCGATGTGCCTGGAGCCGCTCGGTGTGGCCTGAGGTGGGGGTGTCCGGTGACCCCACAGGCACGGCTGACACAGCACGGGGGCCGGGACCCCCGAGATCGCACTCACCCGCCCTCTCCTCCGCAGGATTACACCTGCCCCAGATGCGAGTCTGGTTTTATTGAGGAGCTTCCCGAAGAGACCAGGTAACCCAGCCCAGGTGCACGCTGGCAGCGCCCAGGCCCCTTGGGGTGGGCGGGGCTGTGGGCGGGCAGAGCCTGGACAGGCCGCGGCGGGCAGGGGTGAGAGGTGGAGAGGGCCTCCCTCTCTCCTGACTCAGGACACCCCATCCTCCCAGGAGTACAGAGAATGGTTCCGCCCCCTCCACAGCCCCCACGGACCAGAGCAGGCCACCGTTTGAGGTGAGTCGGGCCCCAGATTGCCCTCCCCTCCCCATGTGGACCGGTCCTCCCACCTGACCCTTGACCACTGGGACCTGTCCTTCCTCGTTTCTCCCACACATGCCAAGGCTCCCCTGCTGTATCCTCAACCCTCAGAGCCCCAAGCCTGGGACGGGGCCCCGTGGCACACGGAGGAGACTTGGGGTCCAGGCAAGGGGCTGGGTCAGATAGGACCCAGGTGGCTGCTCAGGGCTCC